CACTCTTGCAAAAGTCCCTCACGTGCTGGTTTTTCATGGCGAGGGTGATGGAACACTGGATCATATGAAGGTAGACTGTTTTAATTTAAACTACATTTACATTTAAGTGGGCAGAATTTAACCGTTGGATTATATTGATCATAGAGGAAGAAGCCTGCAAATTGGATTTTACACAAACCACCGCTACCCATATCGTTTGGGACTCACCATTCAAAAGCAATATTTCTTGTCTATCCTCGAGGAATAAGAATAGTTGTACACACCGCAAATCTAATCTATGTTGATTGGAACAACAAAAGCCAAGGTTTATGGATGCAAGATTTCCCTTGGAAAGATCAAAATTCCTCTACAAGAGGATGCGCATTTGAAGATGACTTGGTTGACTATCTTAGTGCTTTGAAGGTACACACATAGTTACTAAGAAAAAGCGTGAAAATAATTAGATATGTGCTTACTACTGTTGAGATAAGACTAAGTTGCTGTAGGATGGTTCTTCTTCTTCAGCATATCGTCCATATTGAAAATTGGAATGGTTATTCTTTTTCCTCCTAACTATTTGCAGTGGCCAGAATTTCCTGCTAATTTTCCAGCACTTGGAAACTTCAATATCAATCCATCGTTTTTCAGAAAGTTTGATTATAGTAATGCAGCGGTACTTGATCAATTACCTAAGTTTGTATTGTTCCATTTCCAGGACCATTTTTTGGTGTTTATTTTGATCTTTTTGACTAATCTATTATATTATGGAGCATACTTGATTTCAGGTTAGATTGATCGCTTCTGTGCCTGGATATCATACGGGTCGCCATTTAAAGAAGTGGGGCCATATGAAGCTACGTTATGTTCTCCAGGAATGTGTTTTTGATAAAGAGTTTAAGCGATCGCCTCTTGTTTACCAGGTAAATTACTAGCCTCACTAGTTAATAGAAATGAGTTTTTGTTAATGGACCAGACACTCAATAGTGGTACATTCTATTTTGTGCAAAACCATAATTCTCCTGCTATGCGGTGCGGTTTCCATAAATCTTACAGGTCTTGGAATTTTTTCAAAGATAATAAATAAAAATTCTTATGCTCATGTGCCCATCTTTTGTGCCATATTCTAGTTCTCCTCCCTTGGATCGTTGGATGAAAAATGGATGGCCGAGTTTGCAGCATCACTGTCATCAGGTTCCTCAGCTGATAAAACACCTCTTGGTCTTGGGGAACCACTAATAGTATGGCCTACTGTGGAAGATGTCAGATGCTCTCTGGAGGTACTACTGAATAGGTTATCATTTGAAACCTCTCTATGATGTTTTCTTCTTTCTTCCCCCTCCAATTTGTTTTTGTTAACTGTGATAATAGTACCTCACCCCACTAAACCCTTGCACGCCCAAATGCTAGCTCTGACAGACCCCCTGAAACTCAAACTCAGAACCTAGGATTGTTGCAAAATTCCAAACACTTACCATTACCAAGAAGGCTTGGGGGCTAAGTAACCCCTGTAAGAAAACCAGAAGTATGGACTGCACAAAAAACAGGACAACCCCGAGGAAATTCATCAAAACCTGCTTTTTCTATGTTTCAAATTACTCTGGTCGAAAATGAAAATTCATCCGAACAAAAATAAATCCAAATGGCAATAGTTTATTCACCCCTTTAAAACCTTAACTCACTTGCTGATTGAAAAAGAACTCGCCCAAGTGATTAAACTCCTTTGTTTTTGGGTATTTCTCAATATTACCAATTTGACCAAATCAATTTTTTAGCAAAATAAAATTTATCTTCAACCTCAAGATACTACACTGATGAGAGAATTTTCCAAGATACGAAATTGATAGCTCCAATTCTTTGCATCCATGCATTCAAATATCCTTACTGGATTTGTTTTACGATCATCCAAAAACTCTTCCTATTATGAAAGATGAACGTAGAAGTGCCTCCATAAAGAGACACAGCTAATCAAGCCATACTGACAATATAATCAGGACATATTTGTAGCTTTCTATTCAGACAATGTCCTCCCTCAATGAAAAGTATTTGAAAGAAAGCCCCTAAATGAAGATGGAACAGAAGCAGTTGTAAACATTTTCTTGTGGAGGAGAGAGCTAAATAGTGGAGATCAATGCCAAATCCAGCGATCATCATGAAAGCTAACACGAGGCCTCTCCCTTCTAGAATTATATTTATCCAGCAGCTTTTGAATGCATTTTCCCTGATAATTGGCTGATGACGCTTTATCTAGAATTCCAGCGTAATGATGCAAACAGACTCCTGTTTTCTTTGTTTTGTTTTTTATTTTTCGAAGCTGTCCAGAAAGTAACAAATTTGTATTTTTCCTCTGATTCCTTAGTCGAGCTAACTTGGATGACTAATGTGGCATATATCTCCAGACTTATTTTGGGAAGATGTACATTTTATAGCACAGTGTTCAGCTCACTCTTTGCTCAAACTACTTCATTTCCCTTTGATAGGGTTATGCTGCTGGAAACGCCATTCCCAGTCCATTAAAGAATGTGGAGAAGGGATTTTTGAGAAAATATTGGGCGAAATGGAAATCATACCATAGTGGCCGATGGTTAGCATATCTTTCTTTATATATATTATTAGTCTTAGACTCCAAATTTTTAAATATTGTTTCAGCAAAAATATTCCTGATACTTCAGCTTCTTTTACAAAGCATTTGCTCATGATATTATTGAACACCAACTCAAAAAAACTAAATCATCTCGAGGCTGGCTTCCCGTCTCAGAAGAGTTTCTTCTCTATGCTATGAGGATTTTGATCAGAGCATTCATACTTTTTCTGTGCTGCAGTCATGCAATGCCTCACATAAAGACGTTTGCTCGTTATAATGGTCAGAAACTAGCGTAAGACTTCATACCAGACTAATTAATTCTCCTCTATTAATTGTTAATTTTAAGTGGAATTTTGGTGTAAATATGAAGCCATGAGACTTAAACGAGTTTATTGTTAACAGTTGGTTAGTGCTAACATCATCTAACCTCAGCAAAGCTGCCTGGGGAGCACTTCAGAAGAACAATTCTCAGCTAATGATCCGTTCTTACGAGGTACGTCTGAAACGTGAGAGATGGGTCTAGTTGCACATTTCTAGATTTACATATCATCGTTTCTTTTATTAAGATGGGCATGTGCAGTTGACTCCATGATGGATGAGTTTTCGTTGGTTAAGAATTCATTAAATCCTCCGTGATAGATAACCCAATGGATTCACTCATTTTATGGTTAAAATGTTTTTTGTCTTAAAAAAAAAAAAACATTTCAGCTTGGGGTGCTCTTTCTTCCTCAAAAAAGGCCTGATTACAGTTTTTCTTGTACCAAGAGTGGAGGTTCAGCACAGGTAATTCCAAAACCTGGTTCTTGAATAAGTACTTGGAATGCATACAAAATCTTCACAAGGGAAGAAATGAAACAGTGTTTTTTTTTTCTTACTCAATTTACCTTTAGAACAAGTCAAGACCATCAGAAAACCTAGAAGAAAAAACAGAACTGGTGACATTGGCTTGGCAAGAAAACAGGAAAGGAGAATCGTTGTCTGAAGTAATTCAATTGCCTTTACCTTATGAACTCCCTCCTCAGCCATATGGCCCTCAAGGTCAGACAATACTCATTCCTTCATGGTTGCAACATACCTTATTTATTACATATTCTGATTTGTTTCAATCCTATCAGATGTTCCCTGGTCTTGGGATCGTAGGTATACCCAAAAAGATGTCCAAGGTGCGGTTTGGCCACGTCAAGTTCAACTTTATGCTTCCTAGGACTCTTGGTATCCTCTTTCCCACTGTTCTTTTTCATCTTATTATCTCTCTGGAAGTTCGTTGCACGAACTAATTTACATCACACTCATGCTTAGAAAAGGGTGGGAAAGTTGGAAGCAGGAAGAGTTGTTAATTAGACAGTCGGCTTCATGATATTCTTGTATCAACTCCATGTATCCTAGTGAACAAATTTTTTATGGAATTTTCTCCATTGCTTCTTTTTCAGTGACATTTTATCGTTGTTCAAAAGATTAGAACTTTGAATCACCACGACTACATGGAATGGACCCATCGTAGTCTGATACAAGCAGACTATTGCAAACTTACCATATAAAAGCACATAAATCAAATCATCCATGAAAATATGACATTATTGATCAAATTATATTATTGAGATTTAGCCTTATTGGCACAAATTAGGAGATGAGTAGAGTGAAGATCTTTTTTATGAACCTTTAAACAGAACCAACTAATATATATATATATATATATATATATATAAAATTATCAACACTGACAGAAACATTATCTATCTTCTTTTGGGTTCTGTCGTATCTACATGAATGTGAATTGAGAAACAAATTTAGAAAATTTGAGTTGAATAAAATATATTTTAATTTTAAGTAACTTATTGGAGTTTTTGTGTTTATTTAGTAAAAAGAAGGTGACATATTGATGTCGTGCAAGTTCGTTTCGGTGCTTCTCTTCTCAAAAATTTTTTAAACTCGAGTATCAAAATTATTTTTTTTAATTTAATGCTAAATGAGTAACTTAAAATTCAAAATTTTTTAAAGATCAATAATAGCTGATGGAAGATCTAATAAACCATCTTTTAAGATAATAATTTACAATCTTTTAAGATAATAATTTGATCTAATAAGCGACCATCTTTTAAGATAAATTAAATGGTTAATAAAATAATTATTCATTTAATAATAATAATAAAAAAAAAAATTTGGTTGAAAATAATTATGTTGAAAAAAGCAAAAGCAAAAAATTGAAAATTATATTAGGGGTTTCTAAAAAGAGAAGGAAGTGGCATAACAAAGTGTCAGTCCCAACAAGAATCACGGGTTGACAGTTATAAAACCGCCAAGATTGCGATCGGCATTGCCATATTAGCATTAGCATTAGCATGACCATGAGAGTCCACTGATGATCACACCCTTCCCCCTACAAACCCCAAATTACTTCCAACAACACCATCAAAACCCAACCAAATTATCTAACAAAACATCCATTAATCGGCGGTTTTGATCCGGCCGCCCAATAATGGATGTGTTGTTCGTACCTGAGAAAGGAGAGGCGTTCGCCATTGAAGTTGGTTTCTTCGATACCGTTTTGGAAATCAAAGAGAAGATTCAAAAATATCACCATATCCCCATCCCCAAACAAACCCTAATCTTCAATGGCCACGTCCTCCAAGACGACCGCGACGTCGAATTCTGCGAAATCCTCCAGCATTCTCGCATTCAACTCCTCGTAGCTTCCGAATCTCAAAACAATTCTCAATCCCAACCCCAAATCGACCCAAACCATTCAATCGGGCGCCTCAAACAGAGGATCCACGACATCAACTCTGTGGGCCCCATCAACGGGATCATGCTCCAATCCAACGCCGCCTCCCCTACCGAGTTACAGGATCAACGTTCCTTGCGTGACAGCGAGATGTCGGAGAATTCCGAGGTTGAGGTTTGTTTGCGGCCGTCGCCTACGGTTTCGACTGCTGCGCCTGGCATGACAACGCCACCGCCGCCACAGCCGTCGACGACAACAACGACGACAACAGTGGCAGCTGCGACGGTGGCAACGAGTGGGTCGTCGAAGAACAAGTTGAAAGTAATGGTGCAACCGAAATTTGGGAACTCAAAGATACCAATGGAAGTGAACCCAACCGATAACGTGGGAGAATTAAAGAAAGAGCTGCAAAAGCTACAGCAGAGACTACATTTTCATCTTCCACCCGAAGGTTTCTTTTTCATTTATGACCGCGACGTTATGGATGAAGACCGGTCCTTCCGTTGGCATGGTGTGGCCCACGGCGATACAATTGAGATCTTCAATGGCAGCGTTTCTGGCGGATCTTAATGACCCTCAGATTACTAGGTATCACCACCCTTTTTCTTTTTTTGCTCCCTAGTCTAGTTTTTTGAGACTGTTCTTTAGGGTTTTGATTTTCCTTTTTTTTTTTTTTTTTTTTTTTTTTTTAAAA